AACAGCACAACACTGTTCAGTCAGAAATCACTGCACTACAGCACAACACTGTTCAGTCAGACATCACTACACAACAGCACAACACTGTTCAGTCAGACATCACTGCACTACAGTACAGTAATGTTCAGTTAAACATCACTTCACTATACCACAACACTATTCAGTCAAACATCACTACAATACAGTACAACACTGTTCAGTCAGTGATTGCTACACAACAGCACAACACTGTTCAGTCAGACATCACTACACTACAGTACAACACTGTTCAGTCAGACATCACTACACTACAGCACAACCCTGTTCAGTCAGACATCACTACAATACAGTACAATACTGTTCAGTCAGCGATTGCTACACAACAGCACAACACTGTTCAGTCAGACTACACTACAGTACAACACTGTTCAGTCAGACATCACTACACTACAGCACAACACTGATCAGTCAGACATCACTACACTGCAGCACAACACTGTTCAGTCAGACATCACTACACTACAGTACAGTAATGTTCAGTCAGACATCACTACACAACAGTACAACAATGTTCAGTCAGACATTAATACACTACAGTACAATACTGTTCACTCAGCAATTGCTGCACTACAGCACAGTAATATTCAATCAGCCTTCACTACACTGCAGCACAACACTGTTCAGTCAGACATCACTACAATACAGTACAATACTGTTCAGTCAGCGATTGCTACACAACAGCACAACACTGTTCAGTCAGACATCACTACACTACAGCACAACACTGTTCAGTCAGACATCACTACACAACAGCACAACACTGTTCAGTCAGACATCACTACACTACAGGACAACACTGTTCAGTCAGACATCACTACACTACAGCACAACACTGTTCAGTCAGACAGCACTACACAACAGCACAACACTGTTCAGTCAGACATCACTACACTACAGTACAATACTGTTCACTCAGAAATTGCTGCACTACAGCACAGTAATATTCAGTCAGCCTTCACTACATTGCAGCACTTGTTTGAGTGGCATATAGAAATTAGTGTGATGAACAACGAGGAGAGTTCTATGGATATACAAATTCTATAATATGAGCGACGTTTCGGTGTGTCAATATTGCCTTTTGTTTTAATGAATGCATGGTCCATAACCCCCCGCCCACATCCCACCCCAAACATTTTATTTCATTTCAACACCGCCGACTCGAACCTTAAACGTACCGCGTCGTCATATACAAGTTTATCTTATAATCAGTCGCTGCCATGAGTCCACAGAACGCGAGAAATTGTGATAAGAATTACAATAAATGAGAATCAAGAACATTATTCAGATAATTTTGTCTTTATCAATTTTGTTTCGTTTTCACGACCGACCCACCCATGTTCAGAATTTGGTGGCTACGTGATACACATATTAACACGGAAAAACTAGACAAAGTTTTACCAATATTGAAAACTGAAAAATATTACAGACTACGTTCCTCAGTCTTAAACCTGCCAAGGGTCACATTGATAACGAGCATCGGACTTAATCAGGGACCAGTATCTCTAAAGCTAACAGAACCAAGGTGCATTACGTTTATCTGTCTTTACGGCTGTTTGTATTCCACGTTGGTCAAATAACGAGCGAGCTGTATAGTCTATGATGGCTTCATTTTGAGTGAGGAAATCTTGCCCTAGGATGATTGAATGTTGTACTGATTTGAGAACTAAAAAGTTGTGGTCGATTGTCACACCACCAATGGAGAGGGAAATCCTAACTGACCCAAGTACCTTAATGTGCTCTCCCCCAACACCGCTACAATGTGAGAGCGTACTGTCCTGCATCTGGGACAGGGGAATACCTGCCCTTTTTAAAGTGGGAAGAGATAGAACTGACAAGGTGGCACCTGTGTCTACTAAGGCATGACAGCGAAAATCACCAACCTTTACATACACTGTATTCTTAATCTGTGACTGATGGGATATACTAGAGGATTTGGGGGTACTGGTATGCCTGCTGAAAGAAGATTTAGAGGTATTCTTACGCCTAGCGGCTCTCAAGGCGTGCCTGCTCGTAGGCAAGGGCCTACCAACAGGCGCGAATCCCTATTGCTGATTCAATCTTAGGCGACATACCCTAGCAAAGTGATGTAACCCATGACAATAACTACATTGCTGATTTGAGGATGGACATGAAAATCTAGACCGACAATTGTTACCACAACCCTGGCAATTACCTGAAGGTTGTCTGTAGCTGCTCCGCTGTTGTTGTTGCCGTTGTTGTTGCTGCAGAGGTTGTGCAGAACGACGAGTGTTGACCCTAGGTTGGTGAGGCGGCTCCCGGCTGGCATATCTCTTGACATTCTGCCTCTGTGGAACGTGGGTCATCTGAGCAGTCAACCTGTCAAGTTGCCGCTGTTGTGTTGTCAACAGAGCAGCGATGGTGGCCAGTTGATTGTTGTCAACCCCAGGTGACGTCACAGATGAGATGGCTTGTCTCACCTGATGTGACAATGCCTCCAGTGACTGTGGACCATGGGGAATAACTAATCCCTTTAAAGGAGGCTGCAGACCATTGATGATGACCTGAACAAGGACGGTCTCGGGGATCTGGAGGCCGACTGTCTTCTCCTGGACGCGTTCAATGAAGGCGGGCCCGGACTCGGTGTTATTTTGGCGGGCGGACAGGAAAGCCGTCTGTGAGGTGACATCGGTGAACCTACGAGTAAAGACGGCTTAGAATTGGGCTGCGGTTGTTGGGGCTGGATGAAGCGTGTCCAGCCAAGTAGCAGCGGGTCCATCTAAATACAATGGCAGGAGATTCAAGTAGACTGAATCACTCAGTGATTGGTGCTGTCTAAGACAATCCATCTTCTTCAGCCATTGTCGGGCGTTGCCTGTACCGTTGAATTTTGGCACCAGATTACTCACGTATTCCATATTGGGGGACTGTGTGTGATGTGGCACGGCTTGAGGATGACCACCGTCAGTGTTTGGGGCCGACGCAATGCCGTCTTCGTTGATAGTGACTGGAGGATGACCACCGTCAGTGTTTGGGGCCGACGCAATCTCGTCTCCGTTGATAGTTACGGGAGGATTAACGCTGTCAGTGTTTGGGCCCGAAGCTATTGTTGTAAGGTCCTCCAGTAGTTCGTCAAGGCCGCTGGATTCTGTGACAAGGACGGAGGTCGGCTGTGGCTGTGGCTCTGGCTGTGTCCGGCTCCTGGTGTTGTCATTTGTGGGTTGGTATATAGCCATTTTTGATTCTCCGCCACTTGTTAAAACGCGAGTGTTGGGGAATCAACTCGCTTGGCAAGAGTACGACTATACCTACCCACACACAACACCTGAGTAAAATAAACAAGGAGTTTATTACACAGCAGTCACAGGATGATTTTACATAATCAATCAATAATAGTATGGTTTATGATTAATTATTAGAACATGTTAACAATGCAATCAGCTATCAAAGTAAATTACATGTAGATTCGTTACACACGACACATACTACATTAATCGCGACACATATTCCAATGTACACAACAATAGTTCAGTACACTACACATCACCCCAGTGGGGGTTCATACAATCTACATTCTGCAACGATCCCAAACAGCATAGTGTTCACAACGTAATACAATAGTTAAAATATCCGATACACTCTATACATTCTATAATAGTCACAAAACAGTGTAGTGTAAATCAGTATCAAATAAACAATCCTAAACTGTAATACCGAAGATATGAGACACATACTAAGGGATGCCTCGTTCCACATAAACCTGAAGGTACTGCCAAGGGTGGTAACATATAGTTAATGTATTTACAATAGGTTAAAGTTAACATAGAATAACAATAGTATGTCAAAGTAGAAGGAAGTAAAGTGTCTTACCTGAGTGAATTTACTAGACAGCCACCCCCTGATTTGTGACTGTCATCCGTAATATATATCTATTCTAGCTATCGCAAATAATCGCGTTTACAGATAAAACTTACGATAACCTTGTTATTGTGAACGTCAGATTATGTCATTTAGTTGGACCGAAGAATCGATGGCCAGTCGCGAGTATGCCACGAAGGTATATGTGGCACGCACATGATTTGACCAACGTGGAATACAAACAGCCGTAAAGACAGATAAACGTAAAGCACCTTGGTTCTGTTAGCTTTAGAGATACTGGTCCCTGATTAAGTCCGATGCTCGTTAACAATGTGACCCTTGGCAGGTTTAAGATTGAGGAACGTAGTCGGTTAGTCTGTAATATTTCCAGTTTTCAATTACGCATATCGTTATAAGGTATTGGTAAAACTTTGTCTAGTTTTTCCGTGTTAATACACATGAAAAAAAAATGATGCCATTCCTGTTCATTAGTTATATCTGATGGTAAACAGGCCCCGAAACGTTGTAGCAAAGAATAAAAGAAGATAAATCCAGAAACTTCTTTATGTTCATCAAACACAGGTTCTTCAAGCAATTCGTACCCTTGACTGCATGACTCTCTGGTCATCATTTCCATCATTAAACTGATGCCCTATGGGGATTACCATTGTTACAACTGCCTATGCCAGGACTCTAGTGGAATAAAAACTAGAAATGAAGGTGAAAGGAATATGGTCAACTCAGTTTCATTAAGACAACACATTAGATACCAAATCAAGCGGAACAAATGTGTCCACAACGAAACCTCAAAACACAACTATAAAACTTGATGAACCAATTAAGGTATTTAATCTAATCACTCCGACTGCCGCCCCGTTAAGAAACAAGAGAAAGCTTAACCGCAATAATCAAGCCAGCGACAGTTAATTGTTGGTGTAATGGGGGCTTCATTGCGAATCACTTTTGGAAAGATTTTTTAGCTTTCGTTAAACGAACTGTCACCATTTGAATGAGTAAAGCTACACTTAGAAATCCGATAATTGCTTACAGAATTAAGTCAATCAATCAATCTTTATTCTCTTTATAAAGATGGACACGGGATATCAATCGATGAGTAAATGAAGTAAGTAAAGCTACGACAGACAGACAGACAGACAGTTTTATTCATTAAAAGCCCACTGGCCCATGATACAGTCACATGCAGGATAACACATCACATGAATGGCAGACATGAATTTATAAAAATGGTCTGCCCTTGAATTCTAATTTGTACATAATATATATATATATATATATACTAGCATTCATAATTACATCAATTGCATAATATTTATAAAGTTGGTTATCATGGGAGCTGACTAAAATATTTCACAATATGTAATATCAGAAAAACAAACATAAAAAACCCAGATATACAAAATATGCCATTCATCTTCAGCAACATTAATACCTTTTGATTTACAAAATAAACAAAAAATTTCATCAGAAGCAATATTTTCATATCTTGACAGTCTCTATTGCTACATTAAAATTTCCTCATCTGAATTTTGATAGGGCAGATCTCAAATTTAAGCAAATATTATAATTTAAGCATTTTGCTACATCTAATAGTGTTTTAAACTGACAAATATAAACAGTTTTATGTGAATTTACATTGGACGTATACCAGGATTGGTTTTAATTATCGATTAGTCTTTGTTTAAAAAGGAACATAAAATACTTAACATATCCAATATCCTCATTTACCCATACATAGCTAGACCATAAGTGAATACAACATATTTAACATTAGTTGCCCAAGTTACACATTCAACATCATCTAATGATTTCAGCACTTCGTAACAGTGTTTTGGGAGTCTATTTAGAGGTAAGTACAATAAATGACATCATTATTTGATAACCTTAGTCATATAAACAATTTGTAAAGGGAGTCTACCACATTCTCCAAGTACCATATCATTACAAGTAAATTTACCAATTTTTAAAAACTACTTACAAAATATATTTGTACAAACTCTCTCTATAAGTTTACAATAACTGGTGCATCGAACTTCAGCTCCATAACATAATATAGGTGAGATCATACAATCAAATATTTTAAACAAATCTTTAGAATTGACACTACCCATTTTTCTTATCAAATTATTTATAGAAAATAATGCCTTATTGACCTGAGAAACAAGACACATATGGACTTTACTTCATACAAGTTTTGGTGTAAATACAAGTCATAAATATTTATAAAAAGATACAGATTCAATTTGTTTACAATTATAATGCCATTTTTTCATAATCTCTTAGAGATTTCTAAAAACAAGAATATTTTAAAGAGAAACTGACATACCAGCGAATATACAAAATTTCTCCAGAACATCAATCTTTTTCTGTAATTGGTTACATGTATCAGACAGGGATGAAACATCATCAGCAAACATAAGTGAACATAGATTATTAAAATCTGATGGAACTGTTCAACCTGAACCACTCTAATGCTCCATTAAAGTACATAACCTGTTAATGAAGATCATTGTGGGCTTAAAACACAACCCTGGCAGGTACCAATATTACAAGAAAACATTTAGACAAACATTTGGAACACAAGCTGATAAATTCTGATACATTCTTTTTATAAAATGAACAAATTTACCACACATACCAACTTTAAACAGGAAAGTTAATAGTGTCAAAGGCGTTGGATAAATCAATAAAAAGATAATAAAATCTACCCTTCTTTTTGCAAGAATATTTCTGAATTAAAGCCTGGAGGGAAAATACATGATCAGTCGTAGAATATTATCTCTGAAGCCTGCTTGGGACTCACTAATAATTTCATAAATATCACACCATTTCTGAAGGCGTTTGTTCAAAATAGAAGCAAATATTTTCCAAATAGAGTCAATGAGGGGTTCACTCTCACTTAGTCAGAGTCTAACCAAACAGGTCTTGTTAAGACAACATTGCACTATGACTAGGTGAGAGATGCGAGCCAGGTAATTAGCACTAGCCACTGAAGCCTCAAATTCTCCAAAAAATTCAAATAATACCATATGAATGTACATGTATCTCACCTTTAATACAAATTTCACTAATCTCACTAATTGAGCATTTTGTTGAAACAAACTATGGCTCATCTGGACTAAGTGTTATCAAAACACTAACCCTAGTCAGCCAAATCCCACTATGGCTATGCGAGAGACCAGTTTTGACAGAATCTGTCTAAGTGAGAGGACACCCAATGAGGGACATGCCTCTATAATTATTGGGGTCATCTTTACAGCCAGATTTACAAAAAGGACATATTATACTTTTACTCCATGTTTTAGGGAAATTACCACTGTCAAATATTTCATTTAAACGGACTGACTCACTGAGTTTAGTTTTACGCCGCTTTTAGCAATTTTCCAGCAATATCACGGCGGGGGACACCAGAAATGGCCTTCACATATTGTACCCATGTGGGGAATCGAACACGGGTCTTCGGCGTGACGAGCGAACGCTTTAACCACTAGCTAGGCTACCCCACCGCCCCCATTTAAAATGAAATGGAAGTAAGAAAGGGTACAATATAATTACTAGAAGCTTTAAGATATTCTCCAGCCACACTATCAGGTACTGGTGACTTATTACTATTAGTAGGAATATTCATAAAATGATACAAAACTTCTTGTTGAGTAATTGCTGCATTAAGTTATGACCAATTTTGCGCGGTTGAGTGCAACTGAGACATATGCCAATTGGAATAAGAGTCAACAACACCTGTTTGATTGACACAAACTAAGGATAAAAAAGTTAAACCACTGTTGACAAGAAATAGAGGCAGATATATCACTGGACTTTTTATTCTGTTTGAATAATTTCCAAAACTGTTTTGGCTTATTGTTAGCTTCAACAATCTTCTGTCTCTGTTTATGCATGTAATTATCTCTCTTGATACTGACTGTCTTCTTGAACAAATTACGGAGTTGTCTCAAATCTTGATCATTGTCTCTATGAACCCTTAGTGCAGAATATTTATCATGTTTTAATTGCTCCAACTCTGCATCCCACCTTGGAGGTTGAGATTTATCACTAGAACTCCTGCTGTATCTGTTGTGATACACAGTCCTGGTATGAACTCCTGCCTCCTGGAAACACTGACAAATAAACTCACTCCTTCATTGATGTCTGTATATACAAGTTCGTTCAGTGTATCAAGGGTATCCATGAATGATCGGCTGAAATTATTCAAAAATTGGTTGTTTCTTTAAAAAACACATAGTTAACTTAGTTACCCCTTTCGTTATTCTGGTCAGTATCACTATGTTGTGCAGAGGTGGTAGGTTGAGTGTGAAACAGAGTAGATTGAAGGAATATCGAGGATGCAGTACAGAGGGAAATCACAGGAAAGGAGTTCGATTCCGAAGTCAGTTACAGGAGGAAATAGTGATGAGCTGGCTAGCATATAGTCAACAACACTTGAACCGTTATGTGTGACACATGTAAATTCACTAGACTTATCATGACACATTTAATGTATGGATTCCAAATGATCGACATAGCTCTTTAGTGGATCTTGAAATAGCGATACCATCACTAGGATAGTCATCAGCATCATACACGCAGTATATGTTGTCATCAAGTATAAAATCTAGAAACTGCTTCATCCTGGCAATAAAATCACCTGACAGGAGAACATCCTCCTCTAGATAATCCGATCTGATGGTGGTAACATACTCTTCTTGGATTGATGTACCATCGTTGTCAGTCTCATCACAGATAGGTGAATTCTCTCGTGCTACACGTAGTGAAGCTACGTATTTGTACAGAGAGAGTGTGAACTATACTGCACGGTTATTCATTTCTACACAAATGCAATGAGAATAATTTGTGCAAATAGTAATTGGCAAAACAATGGCAAAACTGTGGCCAAACCCAATACACACTTGCAAGGGTTGAGAAATAGGTAGACGCGAACTGCGTGGCACCGGGATGTTTTAATCAATCATTATTTGTGGTATTCCAGGTTGGAATTGGTCTTCCACAACCCATGTTTATAGTAAGAGTCGATTAACGAAATCTGGCATTCAGGCTTGTCGAAATGGTTTACATATTTACCACACATGTATTTCTAAATCTTTAGTGTCTATTACAAAATGCCTTTGTAGCTTTAAAGACTTGTCATATGATGTCTATTTCAAAATATTCGACTGTAAGATACTACCCATATTATTGTATGGGTCAGAATTATGGGGCTTTCACAAACATGATTGTCTGGAAAGGGTATTGCTTTATGCATGTAAACGATTCCTTGGTGTGCGAATGTCTACACCAAATACAATTGTCCTTGGAGAAACTGGTAGATATCCTATTCATGTGTACACTCTAAAACGCTGTATTGCTTACTGGCTAAAGCTCCTCTCCATGCCCTCTTCACGCTACCCATTAAAAGCTTACAAAATGTTATGTAATCTAGATTTAAACGCAAGCGCTGAGCGTAATAGGTTTAATTGGGCTACACATGTAAACAGTTTTATTTAGATTTGGACTAGGTTATGCGTGGATATGGCAGGGAGTTGGAAATAAGCACCAATTCTTAAATTTACTTGCTTGCTATGGTAACCTAGATTGTGATTGTGGCTGTTTCTTCCCTCATTCTGTTTCCAGACAATCAGCCACTTTCAAGATGTTCTCTACAATCTTTGAGGGTTCGTTTTTGTGTATTTTACGACTGTAGTAAATAACAGCACCGAGATCTACTGCCACTGCGGCAGCGGCAAGTACCGCACCCCCGACCTTCACCCCGGCTGCTGCAGCTTTACCGGCCGTGGCGGCCTTCCCAGCAGCGGAAGTGACATCAGTTCCAACTTCAGTAGCCGTTCCTACACACCTTCCAGCTGAGGCAACTCTGGCAGATACTTCAGCACCAGTTGCAATTCTCCCAACAACATCAACAGCACTTTTAGTTGCCTTGGTAATTTTAACCGCCTTGATTACCGAGTCAACCACGACGTCGGCCGATTGGATAACTGCTCTCCCTTTCTTTGCAAGAGCCAGAGGAAATGATTTCCCCAGCGCTTCTGATCATTCCAATGATATCGTTCTTTGTCTCCTTGTTGATAAAAGTACTTTTTTCAATTTGACCTTGCAGAACAATCCTCTCCGGTTCTTGCAGTGTCTTAATTAGCGTATTCAGTTTTGAGTTAATATCTTCTGACATTTCCGCATAATCATGAAGTTTTTGTGATAAGTGTTTTTCAGCTTTCTTGGTTATGCGATACTCAACAATCATGGACGACAAACCTGACACGGCACCACCTCCTCCTACTACGCCCCCAGCTATGGTAAGGCCTAATGAGGCCCCTGCAGTAACGGGAGCCAGAGCCAGGCCGGCGATTGCAAGACCTCCACCAACGAGACCAACATTTGAGGATGTAAGTTTTGCGATGTCAACTTTTCTCTGTTTAGATTTCAGGTTTTCAGCAAAGTCACGTAATTCCTGAGCCAGTTCCTTTTGTAGCTTGTAGCATGACTTAACTTCGGAACTGAAAGAAGGAATGTCCACCTCAGCCATTTGGAAAACTGTGAAGTAAGAGAGTACAACAAACATTAAGTTAGTGATGATCGCAACATTTGGCGGAAGGTCGGGTTCTCGAATACTTCTAAAACAATTTCTATGCAAAAATGTGTCATGGCATCAACAGATTATCTTTACAAACTATGTGTTTTCATCAAATGTATGTCAATTCAGTCAAGTTATTAACTGAGGTCGTTTTACAAAATATAAAATGGACATGTTTAATCTCACCCGGATTTGTCGCCTCCTTAACTTAATCCTTCGCCGAAACTGATGGAGGGACGATTCTAAAACCTTTTGCGGATTTCTAGCTTTTAAATAGGCTAAGAGTTACCTAGTCTGTCATACCGACCCCGAAACAAATATATCCAAGAAAGCCCATGCATGTCTAGAATATGTAGCAAGTCTAGATTTCAACAGTTTGAAAGTCTTAGGGCTCCTTTTCATTATTTTATTTTTTTACTGTGAACTGGGTTTTTTTCAGTAAAATATGTACATTTCAGAGACTAGTTATTAGAATAAGAGTTACCCTCATTCCGTTGAAATAATACAAATGAATTGTTTCATCAAATGAAAACAAATATAAGAATATGGAAAATCTAAGGAATCGTTTTCTCAGAAATCGCAAGTGGTAACAGTCTTAATAATTTAACCACGTAAAGCAACACAATTGGGTTTAGATTTACTCATGCCAGGAACCTATTGAACAAATATTTTCAAATCAGTTAGGTAAAACGTCGTCTGTTCAGAAAACAAAAGGCCCCGGAGAGCTGAAGATGTGTGGCGCCGAAATACGACTTGGGCGAACTGTTTTATCTCAGAAACTGCTCTGTTGAAAGAGGTGATAAGTTATCTGAATGTTTGTTGCCATAACAAAGACAGGTATTGTTTTATTGATAGCATATTGTTCCAGCACATCACACAGAATATTCCTGACCAATTTTCAGTGTCCCTTCTGAGGAACCCTCATTTGATATGAAGCTACATCGGAGGGGTGAAACTGTACGCTCTTACCATGGGACGGTACGTATTGCGGTACAAGGCCTTCGGTTCGGTCCGTTTCGGTCCGGTATATATGAGAACTTACTTCCGGGAAAATAGCGGCCGTCTAGCAAAAACATGCATAGACTTTGACAAAATGATTCGATTTCTAGACATCTTTGAAAAGGTTATAAAAGGTTACTAAGATGACGGTACGAAAACCGAAAATACCGAATTTTTGGATTGCATTACGGTATACCGAACCGAAAGCAAAATACCGCGGTTCTACTAATACCGCGGTATGTATACCGTTTCGCCCCTACTACATACTATACTAGGCACATAAAGAAACTGTGCATGCAAAAGTTTAAAATCTAAATTTATCAAACCAGTGTAGACACATAAGGATTTAAACTCAGAGATTAGTGACATGTATCCAACATGCATGCACGTGCCACGTTCCGTGACGTCAGTGGGTTCGTCCTTGAGACGTGCAATACGTTGTTGCACGTGCATTCCGGGAAAGAGAAACAGAGCAAATGAATGCCACTGTCACTTTGGAAATTTCAACCCCCCCTTGCGATCGTTATAAAAATTAAACGGCTATTGAAACGCATAGCATGCCAAGGCTCACGTCTGCACAACGTCATGAGGCCATTGGGATGGTCCGTGGGTGAATGTCTCAACGACAAGTGGCTGCACATTTCCACTGCCACCGGAACACCATTTCTGCACTGGTGAGACGCTACCAGAACACAAATGATGTCATCCTATCGGCCACGTTCTGGACGTCCACGTGTAACAACGCCAAGACAGGACAGATGGATAAGGGTGAC